GCTTTGAGTCGATCGATACTGATGCTATCTTTCGTACCGTTCTTATCAACTACATAGTACTTAGGTTCGCGTTGAAGAACTTTGAAGGGTCCTTCGTATGCTGATTCGAGGGGTCGTCGATGTGAGTCTCGACGAACGAAGACGTGTGTACTATGTCGTAATTCGGGTTGAACGAAAACATCAATTGATTGAGGTCGAGTGTGAGCAGGTTTAACTGAACGCATAGCGTTTGTAAGCCTACTCGTGTAAGAGTTTAGATCCATGTTCAATGAAGAAGCTGAAGGATCCACGAATTCTCCTGGGAGTCGGAGTGTCGTTCCGTAAACGAGTTGAGATGCCGTATATCCAATGTCAGCTTTCACTGCATTGCGGATACCTAGCAAGACGAGTGGAAGTGCGTCTGTCCACTGTGAAACGTTTGAAGCTGATAATGAAGCTTTTAATTGTCGATGAAAACGTTCTACCAACCCGTTTGCTTGTGGGTGGTAGGCGGTCGTTCGGAAGCGCGTGATTCCTAAAAGTGTGGTCAGACAACGGAAAAGTCCAGATTCGAACTGGCGTCCGCGATCTGTAGTGATGGTTGAAGGGCAGCCAAAATTTGCTACCCATCGTTCGACGAAAGCGCGGGCCACGGTTTCAGCAGTAATGTCCTTAATCGGTACTGCTTCTGGCCATCGAGTAAAACGGTCTACGCATGTTAGGAGATATGAGTATCCGTTCTAGTCGGGTAAGGGTCCTACCAAATCTAGATGGACGTGGTCGAAACGAGCGTCAGGGGTTTTGAAAGAACCTAAGGGACATTTGTTGTGTCTGATTACTTTATATTTCTGACAGCTTACACAGGAGCGTGCCCACTCCCTCACGTCTTTATTCATGCCAGGCCAACAAAATCGTTCGGCTATAAGTTCGATTGTTGCACGAGCACCTGGATGAGAAAGATTGTGCAACGTATTGAAGACGTTGCGGCGATAATGTTTTGGCACAATTGGACGATCCATACCTGTAGATGTGTCACAGAGTAAGGTTTCCTTACCTGTTCCCATCTGCCTAATACTTAGTTTAAGAGTTGTCGAGGATAACTCATGCTGAAGATCAATGTCTTCTTCTTGAAGCTGAGCGAGTTTAAGAAGTTCGATTCCTTGGAAACTGTTCAAGGAGCTAATTCGAGACAAGGCGTCTGCGACTACATTGTTTGCTCCAGAAATATGTTGTATGTCTGAAGTAAACTGCGAAATGTAGTCGAGTTGTCGAGACTCTCGCGGTGAGTACTTGTCTGAAGATGAATTTAAAGAGAAGGTAAGAGGTTTGTGATCGGTAAAAAGCGTGAATTCTCTTCCTTCGATGGAATGTTGAAAATGCCGTACAGCACAATACATAGCTAGGAGTTCCCTACCGAACGTGCTGTACCTAGATTCCGCGTCTAGCAACCGTCTCGAGAAAAATCCTAAAGGTTGCCACGAGTTGTTAACCCATTGTTGTAAGACTGCTCCGATTGCTGAGTCGGATGCGTCTACGGCGATACTAATGGGCGCTTGACTGTCCTGATGAGCAAGCAAGGTTGCTTTAGCGATGTGTTCCTTAACTGTGGAAAATGCTTTACGGGCTATGTCGTCTAAACTAATTGATTTCGCATTTCCACGAAGCTGATCGGTTAACGGTTTCATTAGGGATGCGCATTTAGGCATGAGCAGTCTATAGAAACTTACGAGTCCGTTAAAAGTTTGTAAGTGCTTGATCGTGGTCGGTTCTGGGTAATCCAGAATGGCCACCACTTTGCTCCTAAGTGGTCGGATGCCTTGAGCATCAATAGTGTGTCCTAAGAAGTCTAAGCAGTTAGTTCCGATTTGGCATTTCTGAATATTGACAGTAATGCCATGCCTTTGGAGTCGATCGAAAACAATGTCCAGATGCTTGAGATGTGATTCTCTGTCCGGACTTGCTATTAGACAGTCATCAACATACGCATGTACGAAGTTGAGACCTCGGTAGACGTTGTCTATAAACCTTTGGAAGGTTTGAGCCGCATTTCTTAAACCAAAAGGCATTCGTAGAAATTCGTAAAGACCGAAGGGAGTGATGATGGCGGTTTTAGGAATGTCGTCAGTTGCCATCGGGATTTGGTTATAAGCTTTAACCAAGTCGATTTTCGAAAAGACAGTTGTACCTTTCAAGGTAGCTGTCAAATCGTGAATATGAGGCAGCGGGTAACGATCGGGAATGGTTTTAGCATTCAGACGCCGATAATCACCAGTTGGCCGCCAATCATTGCTGTCCTTTTTAGGGACCATGTGCAATGGGGGTGCCCATGGACTATTCGATGGTCGAATTATCCCTAGGTCCATCATGTGGTCGAATTCGTTTTTAGCTAACCTAAGCTTCTCGGGAGCGAGTCTTCAAGCTTTCGAAAATACAGGTGGTCCTGTAGTCGTGATGTGATGTGTAACATTGCTGGTTACACAAGGCAATTTCGACTGCGATTGGTATATCCCGGTGTATTTGTCGAGTACTGATTGGTACAAGGGGTCTATGGTGTGTTTAATCGTGACTGGGGATAACCTGCAACCAGAACAAGGAGTTACGCTAACAGATAACTTAGTGTTTCTGTCTATTAACTTTCGTGAGCGTGTGTCGATGAGTAGATTGTGGTGTTGTAACAGGTCTATACCAATGATTGGCATGAAGACATCTGCAACCACGAAAATCTAGTGTATGGGTTTGCGTAAACCCACGTTAAGGTAGACGTACCTTTTACCGTAAGTAGCGATCGGCTTTCCGTTTGCCGCCTGTAAACTTAAAACAGACTCGCTAAGTCTGTCGTCGGGATTTGCTGGAAGAACGCTAACTTCTGCGCCAGTGTCGACGAGGTAGCGAACTTTCGTAGTCACATCCGTGACATATAAGAGGCGGCTGTGTTCGCCGGCTACGGTTGCCGTTAACGCGTGCCGGCTGGGAAGTTTCCCGAACTGTTTTTCGTGTCACTCGATATTGGGGTCGGATAATTGCAAGGTTTCCTGCAGTTTCTGGAAAACTTACCGTACTGGTTATGATACCAGCACCAGTCGGGATTGTCTGTCTCTCGTGGTCGAGAGCCAGATCGCTTACGTGAGGCGCTTCTACGCGGGGTTTTTGACCGACTACGGTCATTGCGAACTCTAAGATATCGTGTAAGCGTGTGACATAGTTCGGCCATGTCAGTCGAGGTCGATTGGGGTTTTTCTTTGACGGAAAAAACCTCGGCCTTAGAAGATCTAGTGATTTCCAAGATTCGATCGGCAGATGCAGCTAGTTCATCTATGGCATTGTTTTGAAATGAAACAAGCACTGCCCTGTTGAGGGAGTTTAGACAAGAAAAGTTGTCTAAATAGACCATCATCGAAAGTTCGTTGGCCAATGACTTCTCTCATTCTAAGCAACATGTCCGTCTCAGAACCATGTTGCAAGTCGATATTGTTAAGGAGTTGGTCTAACCGTTGTCGATCAGTTAGGTCTCCTCGTTTTAAAATCGATAGCTTAAGCGATTCGTAAGGTTCGGAAACATCACTAGTAAACATACTAGATGTTACGTACCTGTTAAACTCGCGCGGTAACGCCTTAACTACCGCGAGGAAACGTGTGCGCGAGTCCGTGATTCCGTGCATGCAAAAATCGGCTTCTGCATAGCAGAACCAGGACTCGATATTGTCGGGCCAAAATGGCGTTAACTGAATCGAAATAGGGGGAATAGACTTTAACTTAAAAACCTTGGGTGAGTGTTCCGTCATAGTAATATAGCTAACGAAAATGTCTAATTAAAATATATCCGGAAAAAAAATTCGCGAAAAAAGTATATCACAATATATAAAATTCAAATAAAGAATAACAATGAATAATAATATTCCAAAATGGAACAGACTCACAGTATATTGACTTGGTGTACCAGATCACGTCGGGTTCACCAATGATGATGCAACGGATATTCTAGTTTTACAACTAGATACCAGTAGCACCTAAATTCGATTGTTCCCAGTCAGATAGAAATCAGAAGTCAGACGAGAAGAGGCAGGAAAGATATATTTGATTCGTTACCAATATATCGAGGACCTTTTCTATGAGCTGGCTAATGAAACGTAGGAGCTGTGTCCCACGCCGAGTTGAAACGTGATCTGGTGCGGATGCATGACCGAAAGCCTTCAGCTAAACAAGTCCACTTAAACAACGTGGTCAGCATCTAATGTCGAACACTTAATGAGCTATTAATTTTGGGGAATTATTTACAGCTACAAGCTTCAACCTTCATTTCAAAGGAATGAGAGTAAGTTGGGTAGTATCACAAGGTGAGAGACTCAGCCAGTTCGTGTTATGAAACTCAAAGTTTGCCAGGAGCAGAATAAATAACTGAATCATTATCTTCTATAAAATAGGGGATGCAGAAAACAATTTCCTAATAAGTACTAGGATCCAAAACATACTTGAGTATAAACTTGAAGAATTAAATAAGTTCACCTCCAGCACAAAACTTTAGGCTGGTGCCCAGAAATCAGGGATACTACGCAGCAGATCGGATCACCGGTACACCCACTCCTATAAAGTAACCAAGCCTGGAATTAGTTATAGTCGGTATGTTTCGAGCAACTTCCATGGAATCCTTCAGAGCAAACGTGATGTATTCCTAAATAACTAGGGGAGTGCTTCGGCCTAATTTACAAACATTAATCTTTCGTTCAGTCAATATACCTAGGTCCCTACCTGAATGAATCGGTGATGCATTGTCAATGAACACGGAAGCTTGTTTAGTGAAAGGTTCTTATTTTCTTGTGACTGTAATCATATTTCTTTATTATTCATCAAGGCGGGAGTTCCAGCATTTTGAGCACTTCTCCTTACATTCAATTTGGCAGTGCTGTACATTAGTATAATTTGCAAATTGATGCGCTACTTGACCTAGACTAGCCTCTGCAGGCCTTGCTCCATTCTGCTAAGCGCCAACTTCGGCGCCTCTGTATTTTTGTTGACTATCGTCGGCCACTCTCCTTGTTTAAAATAGGTACATTTTATATTCTTATTTGTAACTTTCCCTATGTTTTCTGTGCGCTTCCCTAATTTTCAGAGTACGTCCAGTCTATACTGACGTCTAGCTAGACGTCAACTACTAAAAATTAAGTATTTCTTAAAGAACTTAATAGGAGTTCGCTTAAGATAATTTTGTTATATTCTCTACACTGTCTTATATTCACACCTGGTCACAAGATCACTTACTTACGTCAGTTGCTGATGATAACCTACAAACCATACCGAACATGATGTCCTGTGTTTTGTAAACTTTCTAAGTGTTTATACAAATATCCAACTAACTTGTCTGGACTTCAGAAGTCCTACCGTAGATAATTATTTTTCAACTTAATGGGTTTGTAGTGCTCTTCATGGTCATGCTGCCGTTTATCATAACCAACCATATATTCGAACACCTCAGAACAGTTTCCACAATCCAAGCAAACGAAAAACAAGAGGACATGGACGAACTTGTGGAATATATATCCAACTTTTATTGATAAAATTTGTTTTCGACTGCATTTTTAAGCAGCTTTTTCTGTTTATCGTGTAAAAGTAACATTCTGTGTAAATGTGTACTATAAGGTGAAGTCTCTATATTCGTACATCAAGGGTAGCCAAATAATCTATTTTGGCTTAAACGGACGCTAAATAGTCTGCCTCACCGAAATTTATGCTAAATATTGCTTCTTTTTGCCCTTGCGTCCTAGACGTTCACCATCATTCCGTCAGGGCAAACACGTTTGCACAATTGACCTCAGTAAGAAGAATGATTCACTTACTTAAAGTAATTGGTTTACAGGACTTCCAGTCACAGTTTATGTGAATGCCAAAATTCGAGTGCCATTGATGCCTCTTAGCTATAAATAAAAAGCATGATTGTCATCGACCCAACAAACAAAGTAACAGTTTATAATGTGTTCGTTAAATAGGAATTTACACTAAAAATGTATCGTTTTTAAACGTAAGATTGAATCATAAAAGTTTTTGATACCTACGTCTCATTCGATCCAGTATAGCACATAAAAGCGGATATGTTAGAGTTGTTCAAAAATAATTTGATCGAAAAATGATAGCAAAAAAAAGAATAACACATGAGTGCACCAGTCAAGCATATGTTTTCATGGATAGTCCACATGAGGTTAAACTTACAATGATGTTCAGTAAAACTGATCGCTGAGCTTAAGAAACGCAAAAGTAAAGGTTATTGGTGCAAATTATCACTTATAATATCATCCCTTTTTTAATGATGCGTGTTAAGTTTGTCTCATGGGAGAGATCTTGATTTATATTATCCAAAATTTTAGCAGGGTCTCTTTCGCGTACGTTGGGTCATGGTAACTTTACACATGCTTTGGTAGACTGTCAACTTACTAAGGTCTCTCTTATTTGGAGTTCCAAGTAAATTGGAATTCACGATGTCCCGAGCTGTATGTACGCCAGAACATCCTTCAGTGACATCTGGCTTGTCATCCACGAACTTGGTCGCCTTATTCATCTGCCATCCAAATGAATAATCAAAGAAATTTGTTACCTTACAAATCTATCTCTTACATCTTTGTGTTGAAGGTATGTATTTAGAGTTTCCGATCTGTCTTTATTTGACAATTGGAAGTGGAACTGCGACATTGTTGAACGCAGTATTGAATGATACATTTTTTAAAATGCCTATCATTTTCCACATATTAGCAGAACGAACCGATAATGGTGATCGTCTGTTGCAACTATGCTCAGACAATCGTTTATTTTTGGCAAGCACTAATTTTAAACATAAGGAGAGACATCGTCTAACATGGCGACCACCTGCACCAAACCAACGATGGACTCAAATAGACCATATTGTCATCAGTCATCGTTGGAGAGGCTCAATAGAAGATTGTCGCTCGTAATGGAATACTTGTTTAGACTCTGATCACGCTTTAATACGAGCACGCATTTGTCTGCGCCTCAATGGACGCAGGAAAAGTAAACTAAGAAGACCCGTTAGGATTGAACTGGAGGACGAGAAAGCCAAATGCGAATTCCAGAGACAACTGAGTTCACATCTAGGCAGTTCTGTAAACGAGACTGACCCAGATGCTGCTTGGAAAGGCATACGAACAGCTGTGGAAACAGCAGTAACATCTATTAGTCATTTAAACCATAGGGCTCCAAAAAACCAGTGGATTTCTTCTAAGTCTATTTCACTGATGGATTCGCGTAAACTCATCCCATCAGGCTCTGAACATGACGAAGAGCGTAAAGAAATTAGATATAGGTTAACTAAAAGTCTAAAGAATGATCATGAGCAGTGGTGGGCAACGAAAGCAAAAGAGATGGAAAAGGCAGCGGCTGTAGGGAACACCAGGCAACTATTCAGACTAATAAAAGAAACCGGAATTAAGAAGTCAAGTGTAAGTGAGACAATCTCCGAAAAAGACGGAACCCTTATCTGCTCTCAACCCAAACGTTTAGAACGATGGGCGGAACACTTTAAGGAGCAGTTTAACTGGCCTTCAGCTACTGCACAACTACCCACTATTCCTAGAAAACCTGAATGGAACATTGAAGTAGGCCCCCCCGACCCTACTTGAAGTTCAAAAGGCTATAGGTAATCTGAAACGAGGAAGAGCAGCTGGTCCAGATTGATTGGCTCCAGAGGTCTTTAAATATGGTGGTCCGATTTTAGCGATTAGGTTGACTAATATTCTGGCTAAAATCTGGGAGACGGATGTAATCCCATCCGACTGGTCACAATCACTGATTGTCCCAATATATAAAAAGGGGTCAAAATCATCCTGCGATAACCATAGAGGGATTAGTCTGACTAACATAGTATCTAAAATACTAGCCTCAATAATTATCAGGCGCCTAACTAAAACTCGTGAACTGCAAACACGAGAAAATCAGGCTGGCTTCAGACCTGGTCGTGGCTGTATCGACCACATATTCACCATTCGTCAAGTTTTAGAGCACAGACATGCTTATCGGCGTCCGACAATGGTAGTTTTTCTTGACTTGAAAGCAGCATTTGACTCTGTAGACCGAGAGGTTCTGTGGCAGTGTCTGTCATTGAAAGGTGTACCTGAGAAGTACATAAACCTTGTGAAGGCTCTTTACTCGAACACTATCAGTCGAGTGAGAGCTTATGGCGAACTGTCATATGATTTTACAACCTCAAGTGGTGTCCGTCAAGGCTGTCCACTATCCCCCTTTTTGTTTAACTTCATTATAGACCTGTTGCTGCAAATGACACTCTCGTCGACTGAGTTTACAGGAATTGATCTCCTACCAGGGGGACCACTAAGCGACTTAGAATACGCAGATGACATAGTCCTGTTTGGTGAAGACGCTGACAAAATGCAGAGTCTTCTGTTGGAACTGAGTAATAATGCCAGGATGTTTGGGATGCGTTTCTCCCCATCCAAATGTAAATTGTTACTCCAGGACTGGCCTGCGTCAACACCTGAACTAAGGATAGGGAGTGAAGTAGTCGAACGCGTCGACAACTTCACTTATCTTGGAAGTCTGGTCAGCCCTAATGGGTTGGTGTCTGACGAAATCTCAGCACGGATTCAAAAAGCTCGTTTGGCTTTTACCAACTTACGTCACCTATGGCGAAGACGAGATATCCGTCTATCAATTAAGGGACGAGTATACTGCGCAGCAGTTCGCTCTGTTCTACTTTACGGCTGTGAAACATGGCCATTAAGAGTAGAAGATACTCGTAGGTTACTAGTATTTGACCACAGATGCCTTAGAAATATTGCTCGCATCTGCTGGGATTACCGAGTAAGTAATAGTGAGGTTAGACGCAGGGTATTAGGTAACGATGGTAAATCAGTTGATGAGGTGATAAATCTTCATCGACTGAGATGGTTGGGCCATGTGTTACGTATGCCTGAACACCGATTACCACGACGCGCAATACTGACTAGTATTGGGGACGGTTGGAAGAGAGTTAGGGGCGGCCAAACCAAAACATGGCATCAGTGTTTGAAGTCACTAACTTCTAGTCTGAGCCATGTTGGCAGATGCAGACTACCTGGTTGGGGTCCGCGTGACTATCGCAACCAATGGTTGGAGACTCTAGGTGACATGGCTCAGAATCGATCACAATGGCGTAGGTGTATACACTCTTTATCTTCCCTTAAACCTTGAGATTAAAATTGCTTCATATCTCTCTTCCTTCCTGTACTATATCCTTATATACAACCTTTCCTTATATACTACCACCACTAAATTAATTACTTCTATGAATCCGGTGTTCATCTTGTTGTGCTAAAGAGGTATGGCAACTTGGACCGATGCATATATGTGCCTGATCCTACGTTGTAGCTGACTGACTGACATATTAGCAGTCAGTTGTGAGACGGCTGCTACATGATTAGGTAAAGTTGCATCCACTTTTCGTAATCTGAAAGAGAAGACATGCATAACTTACTTGGCCTCTTGACTGCCGCTCGGGGCCAATATTAAAACTGAAGGTTGGAAGTCTATCTCAGTTGGACTTGTTTACATAAATGTACAGCAATAATAGACTTGCTTAGTTACCGGCAATAAGGTTGTTTCCATCAAACGTGCGGTCTTGCATTACATGAGTGTTAGGTGATGATTTTTATGCAGCTAAAGAATTAATTGCTCCATTTAGCGAATTGGATATAATATCCACCTAAAGATCCAGTATCGCCTAAATTGACAATTAATTTTCTTAAGGGATTCTGCCTATATTCCTCCAAAGTTCTCATTTATCCTCATGTTTTAGTGTGTTTGAAACATTTTTGTGGTATTTTGATAAAATATGTTATTTCAAATTGCATTCAAGCGTTCAGTTGTACTTAAGGTTCTTCCTAAACATTCTTTTGCCAATCACTGTAAAGGAAATCGTGACCTTTGTTACAGTTGGTTCCATTTATTTTGGTTTGTTATTCTGTAATTACACAATCAATAATCTTTCACAAATTAGTGTTTATTGATCAGTCGTATTTAATACCGCATTATAGTTATCATACAAAACTTTTAAAAACAATAGGTTCCATTTCATTATGAAAACATGTGTATTCGGGAGCAGGCTATTACAAGTTGTTGGGGGAAAAACATAGTAAAACTTGTACCATGCCTCATTTGTGATGTGTGTGGGATGTGGAGCTGCGCGGTTACCCAGACCGAAGCAGGTGGTTTTCTTAGGGAGCGGCACCCGAAGCCTTCGATCTAAATGTCTGATCCACAAGGCAGTGGAGCAGCGTGAGGAGATACGGTACCATGGTGGCCGCTGACCAACGATTGGTTCATACGCCATTTGTTCCTTCAACATCCTGGAGCCCATGTACACCATTGGTTGGGAATCAGGGTTTTCCAACCCCCATAGGTGGATTCTCCATATCCACCAACCCGGTTAAAGCGCCGGATATTCGCTTTTCATCCTCTCAATTTCGTAAACAACAGTAATGGCACGAGAAGGCATTGAGTAGGACTTCCCTGACAGTGGTCGTATACGTGTGGCCATGTGAGAGCATTTCAAGAGGGGGATCTGACTCCCACCACTTCCGGCCGTACCAGAGCCTTTGAGGGCAGTGAAATGGTAAGCCAATTAAAACTTGCAATGCATTAGTGGTTTTTATTACATTAGGTTGCATAATACTAAGTGAATTTCAACGCTTAAAACTATATTGCTTTTTATCATTCCCTTAGCTATAATGAGTTGTCCGATTTGTGAAAATCGTGAACTTGTAGAAGATGAAAACACTGGGCAGTTGATTTGTTCAGAATGTGGAACTGCAACAGGTGTTTATAGAGGAGTTACCCAAGTACGTTGTTTTCGAGAGAAATTTGTTTGTTTCCAGATCATCTAGTCGTTTATCTTAGCCTATTTTGAGAATACATAATGTTTTATATCTTTACATGCTTTGGTTGGTTAATGAAGCTGTACTGAAAGTTCTTACAAGCTTATTAGGTTTCGTCAAGTATGAGAATTACTGTACTTTACTAACTAGTTTTAACATTATTCCGTATCGAGATTGGGAGAGTTGCTGATATTTTTTCCACAGTCAATGATTTTTAAACAACGTAAAACTTGGGAGAAATATGAATATATTCATGTCAAATTTTACATCAGCATAGCTATTGAAAATTTTATATATTGTGCCCGCTTATTGTCCTGTTAATATATGACGTGACGATACCGCCAATTAGAGAGTAGTGAATTATCGATCGAACTAATGACATACGAAACCCATACGAGCAGTCTAGAGTACTTGTCGGTCCTGCTTGCTGCCCAGCCAGTTAAGTCCAGAACACTAATAACAATCTCTGCGATATGAATCATTTTTTTCAAACGTACTGGGTTTATATACCAAACAGACAAACCACATCGTACCATAAAATAGGAAACAACATTTGTACAAGATTTAGCCAAATGTGGCTGTGAATAAGGGAGATAGTGATTGACAGACTGGGGATAACTCAAGAATGTTAAGTCGTATAATAATAGTTTACAGGTCAAAATAAAGCTTATAACAAGAAAAACATGAATATGAATAGTTAAGTTACTGAACAATTATACAATAGGAAATATACATATCATATTAGTCCATAAATAGTTCTCAAATGTTACCATCCATAATTCTCTTCGGGATATAACAGAAAATTAACGAAATGAAGACAGAATGAGTCGAAATAACAGTTGCATCAATAAAAAGGAACAACTAAGCATAGAGAATATAGTTTAACATGGATTCATCAGGTTGGGGAGTAAAAAACGTGTAGTATTTTTAAAGTTCATTAACTAGGAGGTAAAGTTTAAGCACATCTGCTTCAGTCCAGTCGATTATGATTTCCAACTAGGAAGTCTGTATCCCTGCCTACAAAACTCAAATCAGTAGTCCTTGACTTCATGGACTGATGTCACTTCTCAGTTTGATTGTCCTTACTTCCTTGCTTCATTACTTAAGTTTCCCCTAGGTTACATACCTTGTTAACCTATCATGGTAAAACGCTAGGTCCTATCAATCTCTTCTAATCATTGCGTCAGATGTAATGTGTAGTGACTGTAAGTCAACGTAACATAGTGACGATAGTGAATTCCTTACCATTAGACTTCCGTTAATACCGAAGAATAAAGTTGATGTTGTTTACTGTTTAGGGATCGGTATGTTTTAAAAAATGCTGTTTCGATATTCCTTAGATGCTTCATACCCACGAACGTTCTTTTATCACTAGTTGTTCCTTCAAGGGTCGAATTGATCCTTCTCCCGAACTTTAATCCATTGGTTCTTTATCTAATCTTTTGTATGATTAATACTGATGAGTTATCGATAAAAAATACCATTCACTTTTAGTCTGTTCGTCAAGTTAAAGTCTTTGTGTTATCATGAAATTATTAAGTGTGCTGACATATTTCTATCTGATAAAATGCAGATATTAAGCATATGCAGACGTACTCACTGTTTGTTAAGTAGACTGGGGGTTTGGGTTTGACATCAATAGGTTTTTAGAAGCGATTCACTAGGGAAAATCCCAAGTTAGAAAAATACCAATGACTGGCCAAGTACTTTAGTAGTAAAGTCAGTCAGTCAGCAACAACGTAGAACCTCATACATACGTACATCAGTTCAAGCTGTCATACCACGTTAGCACAGAGATACAATTATCGATTCAAATCCTATGGTGGTAGAGGTAGTAAAAGTATAGGCAGTAATCGGGAAGATTGGGGTTTATATATGTTATTCAAGGAGTTGAATCCAGTGAAATAAATTTGGAAAGTTTTCTGCTCGTTGAATAGTTCATACTGACTTTTAAATTCATCATTTAGTTATATGTACTAAGCTCTACTGTACTTTTAAATGCATATTTTTAGTCCCAGGATTTCTCTGAAACCCGTGGATTACGAGTGATCCAAAAGACTGAACACATAGTTAGTCAATCCAACCAAGCAGCTACAGATAACATAGCAGATAGTTCGAGATTTGTAAAAGTTGAACCGGATAGCACACATGACCAAAATATGAATTCTGTTTGTCGGGAAGACTTGCTGAATACATTAGATAATGATCTTTTCAGCGGGAGTGAGGTGAGCTTCATTAATCCCACGCAGAAAGAAAAGTGCTTTGAACGCCATCGTCCTTGGCGGTTATCCGAACCTTTCACTGTAAGTTTATTCTTATTTATCAATCTTTAACCCATCCAAACGTATTGTACATGTTATTGTTTGTTGAAGTAACAGCATTTCATTCGCACGAGATTAGTATTGACCGTAAAGTTAATTGTGGTCATTTTTTATGCATCTGGAGTTTTGGAATAAAAATGAGATTTCAGAGTAGCGTACAATTGGAGATGCTTTATTTTTTTCCCCTAAATCTCCCGACTATCTGAACATTGATAGTAGTTGAAAAGATATGTTGTATAGTCTTTAAAACGAAATTTTTGATTTATTTGACAGAATATTCGATCTTAGATACCATACTCAATGTACTGTAATTAAAAACAAAACTCTATGAAGTCATTAATTGTTAGCTGAGATTATGTAAGTGTAGAATGTTAGGATTCTACTCTAAAAGTGTTGAAAATTGTAAAAAATTAAATAGTGTGTTGTTCAGTTCGGTGTTCACATTATATCTTATAAGTTTTAAATTCAATAAAGGCAGAAATGAAATTGTTCACGAAAATGTTCATCAATCTTATATTTTTTAGGGCTAATTACTGTCAGAAAAGTGTCGAATAGTAACTAACCATTTTTAAGCAGATTATTCACTTAAACAAAACAAAGGATGATAAGTCTGCTCTTGCTAACCTCATTAATTTCAGTCATTATGTCTAATTTAGTGTAATGTTCTTTTCTTATTAAGTAATGAAGTCACATATTATTTAGTTAAGTTATTAATATAACATCATCTTGCCAACTTCAGAATAATGTTTCTTTTTCAAGTACGTTGTTTCTAAAGATATTTCTTAAATGAAATTCAAAAGCAAGAATTAATTCATTCGCTCCATTTTAGCTACCAATGATGAAATCTATTATATTAACCACGGTAGTCTGTGAAAATAAATAAAAATAATATGTATCTGTACATCTTGTAGTTTCCAAAGTGGTACATAAGCAGCCTATTAATTGTCTATAATGAATTTAAATTCCCATTTTGACATCTTTTTATACTCATCTAAGTTGACCCTGTCTATTCATATTTAATAACAGTTAAAAATATAGAGAGTGTAAAAGTGTCTGATTCCAAAAAATGTCTAATGATTCTCTGTGGTTATCTAACTTAAGTGCTCTAGAGTTACAAATTAACTAAAGTACTTGACTTTTAACCAATATGGTCCAAGTTTAAGACTCCGTTAGGTTTCGGTTTCAGGATGAAACTGCACCTTTCTTCATTGTAGAATAATTATAGCTCCTGTTCGGTACGCTAAACTTCGACAAACAAGTGAAATAAACTTTAGTTAATTATTGTTATTTGAGTCATTGTTAAGAGTCTCATTTCTGCATCGTAGGTTGTTGTATATATATAAAGTTATTGCTATCACTTTACAGTTCATAATGAGACGTCAAGCAAACTGTTTGGCTAAAGAATTAAATCTTTCCGTGGAACAAAAAGTATCATTTTGTGATACTGTTTGGAACATATGGCTCCACTATTTGTCTATAACTGGCGAACTTGGCTCTGATGCTTGGGTAAATGCAGCTCTTTTATTGGCTAAATCGATTAGTGAAGTACTTGAAAGCAAGATGATTCCAGAAGAAGAGAGGCCTACTAATAAAATATTACGGAAACACAAAACATCGGATCACTGTTACATGACTACCCAGCGTGAACACGAATGGGAGCTCATGCAAACTCGTCTAAATCAATTTCAGTGGGTTGGTTGGGGTCTATTGTATGAACCAGAGGAAGGTCGAGAAATAGCTAAAATTCTACATTTGTCTCGAAAAAAGTGAGTTTTGAATTTAGACTTAGTTCAGTGTTATATCGCTAAAGCTAAAAATAGTTACGTTTCATTTTACCCAGTTATTTTAAAAATATCTACTTTCAACTGTTAGTTGTTCAGTAATGTCACGTATACTTACTGTACGTCTGATCCCAGAATCGCTTGCACGGTTGCTCTAAAATATGCGAACAGTTCTAAAATTGCAAAAGCAGAGAGGTGGTCCGTTTATGACTTGGTGACGGGGTATGAAGGAAAGCTGTACAGGACTGACAGATGTCGGTGCCTCGCGAGAATCTCTGGTTGGGGTACTACAAATATTGCAACTCAGTGGCTCGAGACATTATCAGACATGGCTCAGAATAGAAGCCGATAGTGATCATGTTGTAGTTTTCCTTTGTTTTCTTTTAAAACAAGAAAACTCCTGTAATTGGAAATATTCTTTTGATTAGAATTTTCTTAACGGAACTGCTCGTATTATATACTACCCTCGTTCACTTATTTTTATTTGCGTATTGTTTTTGATCATACTTACCCTCCTTTCTCTGTCTATTCACAATCTCAGTTTCTTATCGTGTGGCGCATCTTTATTTTGGTCCCATTTGTACCAACATATATGTTTTCTTAAATAAACAGCAATATACTCGCCGCTTGATTGACAAATGACGTCATACACCGCAAGTGGTCCAAATTAACATAAGCCAAATTAACTTTTTGAATTCATATCGGTGTTTGATCAGCTACTAATACAACAGGGCTGATGAAACTTTCAAGGTAAGTGAAGTGGTCAACTCACTCAACTACCTTACTTTATATGACCAATCCAGGCGTTGACAAGAAATGGTCCTAAGATAAAATTTTGCAGCTTCAGGAAGAGAAACGGATTCCAAACAAGACTATTATTTACGTACATCAGATCAAAGAGTGAGTTTCCAGGGCGTAAATCAATCCTTGAAACGTTGGATGAAATTGTAATTTCTATAAGGACATCTCTGAAATTCGATAAAACTAAGTAAAAGGGGCAACACTGACAAATGCCTCTTGAAGTTGATAATTCTGATAAAAGTCCGTCATAAGCTCTGATCTGGGCGTTAGTATTCGAGAAGACAGTCTTTATGAGGTTTATGGGCTTAGTCAGTGACAAGGAGAAGGTCTGATAGGGAAAATAGAGGGAATATTAGGAAACGAAACGGCAGATTACTTTTAAATAAGATTAACTCGGGTACTGTCAGTACTGTTTGAAGACTTTTCACTTCCATTTTCCTCACACTATGGAAGAATATTTCTTTATGGATTACTTGTAAAGGATACAAAGTCGGTAGATATCTTGACAACCTAGGACTATGACCACAGAACCAGAGGTACAGCCGTTTGAGGACTAATCATTATTATTTGTATTCAAGTCGTAGTCACACTCACAATCCGCTGATCTGTTAACTAGAGTTTAAGGTTGTTAGAGTTCTCAGCTGTATTGTTTAGTACTTGTCAAGCCCAATCACATCATTGCCAATATTTTGATTCCTTTGACCAACAAGACTTAGCAAACACTGTGAACTTAAGGAACTTAGTTTATTTTCATTCAATTAGTTAAGTTGATCTGAAAACGTATTCAATTATCTCTTGCTTTATCTAGATTTCTCGCAACATTCATAAAGAAAACATATTTTTAAATAATTTTTGGGATATTTAAAATGGGATCAGAACAAAAGCTATATTTTTAAATGCTAGAAAATTCTCGATAGTGTGGTACTATAGTGAACAAATTTCATTACAAAGTTATTATAAAATAAAACTACAAACTTTTCGTGGTTTCCTTCATCTTTACTTCAGAAAGGCGCCGAAACAAGTCGACAAAAGCGAAAAATCTAAACGACGTGGACGTAAACGGAAGAACTGTAGTGAGTCTGATTCATCAGAGCTCGTTCTTTCTGATGAAAATCCTGATGATGATGCTCAATCTGTCCATTCACCTGCTTATGATGGTAGAAGGGATTTGAGTAACCCAGATGTTCATGATTCAGATTTGTCCTTTCAACCTAAAGCTGTAGAATCAGAGTTATTCCCTGATAATGATTGGACACAAGAAATGCCATTATCGTATTTCACCAAAAAACTGTGAGTTTTATTTTAGTCATGATTTAAAAATCCGAGTGGAAGTTTCCTCTAAAAATTTGGTGTCAGTTGTAAACCGTTTGAAATCAGAAAATAAATTTAAGTTTGGTTTATTATTTGCACCTTGGACACAATACTTCACTTGACTGATCCTAAATCAGAACATGAATCGAGAGCAAACGAAAATATATACTCTAAAAGTTCGAATACCAAAGTTAATACTGTTAGAATGTTAGGGTTTGTGGAAAATTTACACAAAAACTTCGTCTTCTCAAGCCGCTGGGAATGATTATTTGAAAATAGACTAATCATCGTGCTCCGACTTGATCGTAATTCGCGCAATCGTCAACCGAGTTTCTGCCTCACAAGCTAAGGTGTTTTGTATGTTTTGGTATTTCTCAGCTGTGTATATCAATAAATTTTATTAGGAATAAAACCTAGTGGTGCTGAGTTTATGAAAAATTACGTTGATATATCAACTATTTATATCTTATCATAATTAACTTTTGAGCTCTACCAACTCGGAAGCTATGACTATTCACCCTAAATGGTATGAGTTAATATTACCTGCGGATCCTAAGTTGCTCCTGAAAGCTGTTGATCTTTTATTATACTTAAAGCAACTGTTCTCACATCACTTGGTAATGGGCATTAATAATGGTGTACTCTGGGTGAAATCAATTTTGGTTAACTGACAAGATGTTTTATTTCAGGATGCGATTGCTATCCTGTTAATCTTGAATAGACTGTTTAGTAGATTGGTCATGTAAGTCAATATAACTGACATGTCCAACCAAAATGATCTGTGATTGTTCAGCGGGTTCAAACAGACATCTTATAAACCGCATATCAGCGGCTATTTATATTGTGTCATATAATTTTCTCCCCTTTGTATCTGTCAGTAAATTCTTGTTCTGGTCTTCATTTGAATCTCTATCGAGCGGTCAAACTATTAAGTGTAGGTGTATTACGTGATCAAGTCAACACCAATTTTATAACAATAGTTTCCTTATATTCCATGCAACTCAGTTTTAACCAGTATGTTCTTCATGTAACCAGTCACGTAAAGCTCTCTAGCCACTTATTTATCTCAAATTACAATAGATGATTGACTGATAATGTCAATATTTTAAAATTTGTCATACATAAAATAAACATTGATGTCATTTCAAATACTATTTGATCGCAATAGTTATCTAGAACCACCTAACTTTCGACAATTTCTTAGTTGATCTTAAAAAATTCTTACGAAAAGTATTTTTACTCATAAGAGATGCACAATCTATTTACCTTACTCAAATTAATATTGCGTTTAAAGTTATTCATTAAACCAATACACTTAGATATCCAACATCTATATCATGGTGAAAATAAATGTTGAAAGAATTTTCTCAGATTTTTAAGCAGACCATAACATACTCAGGATTTTCATAGTTCATACCAAGTATCTTTGAACATAACCACTAAAATTATAAGTACTGTCTAATTAAACTGAATTCTCTGTTCATTGTGTAAAATCAATTAGACAGGTATTATCTGATTAGTATTGTACTATACGAGATCAGACACTGCTAAATATTCAGATAAACTATCCTCTATAATTTGTGTGTGTGGCTAGTTGACGTTATTTTGCTAATTAGCTGAGAGGGACTTTTAAGTTATAATATTTGAGTTTTTTTTTCATGAGACTGTATTCATTGTGTAACACTCTATGATTATATCATTGTTAATTTCGAGAATATGGCTGTGTTATAGATTTAATGTTGCCAACTAAGTCACTTGTTGAAGTTATCTGTAACTTATTTTGATATATTCCAGTGTAGTTATAGATACTGTTATGTATGCAGTTACTTGATTGAATTTTTCGAACTTTTGTATTGTAAATTAATAACCAACGTTTAAACCTACTTTTTCTAATAATTTATTTTCTTATTTTATCAGATCTCGGTTACGATCCATGGGTCATTTGTTTTGGCGTGGTCAAATTGAAGGTGGTTTTAATTGTCGTGTATTAATGGAGTATAATGTGGCTATTTTGTTTATCGCTTGTTTAACTACTTGTCCTATACGAAAAGCAGTCAATCCATTATTTTCTTCACATTTTATAAATTCTGATATCTCAAACAGTCCATGTGCACTTACTACAATGATTACTTTAAAAGATTTACAAGATCTATGCAATAATCGTCGCTTACCTTTCATATCTGTAAGTTTCAACATATTTTCATAATCTTCATATGTATTGTGTAAATTGACAAAATACATTATTGAATCAATGAATTTGTAAAATATTTCTCAGTATAAGGTTGAGATCTTTAAGTTTAGATTGAAATCATGAATGGATCGATGTCAGACCACCATTGAAAACCTGGAAGCACTGGACGACCCTTTCGTCCTATTATGGGACTCCATGTTTAGACAAGTCACTTAAAGAATAACAGTAATATTTTTTTATTAATGATCTATTAAATTAATTGTTTTCATTTTCATAAGATGACAAACATTTGAGCTAAAATCTATGACAAATTATGCATTGACAAAGTAGTCGCGATTGTTCTGCTTCATGATTCCTGACACTAATCAATGCATTGTAAGTGTGGTGTTGTATTTCTTGATATAAATTTGGTAGTACATTACTCCTAGTTTATTCGGCACTCAGCAGATCTAGAATCTCACCTTTTAAATATTTGGTTTTAACATTCAACATCGTTTCGTTTATCACGGTTAAGGTAGCCAAGTAGATATAGTTGCACTACTGCATATCAATGTTATAATATTGGGTAAACAAATATTACTGATTAAAAATGATTATGTCAGAGTTGATCATTTAAAGGAAATTTGTTGGTTAACTTTCAGAACAGAACAACACAACCATTTCCCTTAATAAATTTAAACAATACGTCCTATTCTTTCCCTTATGATTTTCGGCACCATTTTAAACATTCATCTAAACTTCACTGGCTAAAGTATGTCCAATCTTTGTTTATAATTTTATTATTCCTTGTTATTTTAGGCATTTTAAAGTCAATGAGAGACCATAAAGTAGTATGAATTCACTAAATTATGCAAATTTAGTTGTTTTTCCAATGTTTAAATTACATTATCAGTTTGAAACGGTTATAACTATAAAGTTTTGCAGACTCAGTATTTTCTCTCCAATGAACTATCAGCAAATACGTCACTATTATCCAACTTTTACGTTTGAAAATATTACTCATAACACACTCATTTCGTATGTTGTGCTAATAGCGTTTAGTATAAGTGTATTTGCTAAATGGCGATTCATTTTAAATTACTTTAGCGTGTTTTTTTCTACAAGCGATTAAACTGGTTAGTATTTTAATTATAACTTTAACCCAGGTCATGTTTTGTCAGTAATGTGTTTACAGCCAGTCACATAAGTAAAACAGACACTAGTACCCCTAACAGTATCCAACTGGAATTATTCATTCACCTACCCTCATGATATTCCCTTTTTGTGTGATCTGTTCGGCGTTTACTTTTGTTCCTACTCCAGTGGCCATATATAATTTTCAGAACAACTTGAAATTATTTCAAACCACCAAAAAGATTATTTTGTTTCAGTGACTTTGTCCTATTCCTTTATGTGGATTTTACAACGTAGTAAAAAACAAGTTTATTACTGGTTACCTAATTCCTACGTTCGATTTTCATCGTCTAACATCATTTACTTGTTGTTAAGTATGAAATATACGAAAGCAGATGAAACTGGCTATTTCATCATTTCCATTTATGTTCAGGTATATTAAGCGTGTATAACTGTTATCGCATTTTTTGTTTGAATGACTATCATAAGTTATGTTAAGAATAATTAATGGCCTAGTGGTTTTGTTAAATAAGTTGCAACGTACAAATATTGAAATGAAGCCAATATTTAGGTTCAGATTTTTTAAAAATTAAGTATCAGCACTCCAGTACACCTTAATCTGACGACTCACACACAATTTCCCAATACTGGATCTAATTTGTGGATGTCTAGTAAGCCTCCTATGTAAGCATATAAGTAGCCTTAACGACTTCTAAGTTGAACATGGTTTACATCATCTCGATGAGTTTTGTTATTTTAAAAACTGACACTTGATCAACCATTTTATATACTTTTAGGTTCAAAGTTTATTTCCTCCAGGGGCCTTTTGCATTCGTGATCAGAGTCTACTAAGTTTAATCCGACGTCACAGACCTCCGGAAATCAATCATTTGGCGTATGCAACTGCTCGGATGCGTGAATTTATTGGGTTGAACCATTTCCCAAAGTAAAAATATTTCTTATGTCTCAATAGTATTTTATAGTTTTACCATAGACTTCATTATTACAATAACCATTATATCTGCCTCTTATTCCGGGAGTATATTTTATCATTCAGTAGATTACTTACATTTGATGTTAGACTTTCTACACAGCTTGGAGATTAAATAAGTTATTTTTATAGCTTGACATGAGTTGGACTTCACAATATTATTGTTTTTACTGTAGAATTTAGTACCTTTAAAAAGAGTGACTGTTTCTTTTATAGTTTTTGAGTGTTTCGATGATAATTGTTTAGAAGCCTTTTACTTTCTACGACTTATATGCTGTCTATTTATCTTCAATTTTACTTCAAAAAAACTTTTCGGTGCTATTGCATATGACATTTGATCCCCTATCAATACAAATGAATTCGGGATGATTATTATTGTTGTATTGTCTTCACCGTAATAAATCTAGAGAGCACTTCAAAACTCCGTTTCTTAGTCGTTATATTTTTGTGATGCCTGAATATTCTAAACACTAGCTACTATGACTCAATAAAAAAAGCAGCATCCAATTATCTCATTCTTAGATCCACCAAATAAGATTAAGTCCAAAGTTAATTCACGTAAATTTGCTTTGCAACGCCCTTATAAACAGAACGAAGAATTAACGTATTCAAACATCAACAAACCAATAGCTAAAAAGCGTTTTTATAAGTAATGAAAGAAGCTTCAAGAGATTCGATAAAAAAACACCGAATATGAGATAGTATAAAATAACCACCAGCTTGCTTTTATGTTTGACTTTCGATTGTCGGTTATGCAAATCGATATTTGTAGATGACTATCCTTATGCTATTCTGGATGGGTAAGGATAACCCTCTCGAATTTCTGAACATCGAGAAGCATTTATGTCAGTTTCGTAGTTTAGTTATTTATATGGGTCATTTGTTTGTTGTAGTCATTGTTAAGTGTCCGAAAAAGTACATAGATCCTGTTACGTTTAGGTTCCTATTGACTTACATTAAACCGCGAAACGAAGTAGTGTATTATCAACCTCACTTAGTACTTGCTAGTCCTGTTTCAAAATGTCACCAATTTCATTTACGATTTACTTTACACATCTATTATGCAAAACGTTAATATGATTATTCAAATTATGAATTCCTAGTAAGTAACTCCGCCTGTAGCTACTCTAATGCTACTACCGGTCCCAAGCCCGTGTAAAGGCGAAGGGTTGGGCGTGGGGTCGACAGGCCCCATCTTGTAGAAAACAACCTTGCTAAGAAAAAACGCTAAGTAGTATCAGTTGGTAAGTGCTTATTTTAAAAACAGTGTTAAATAGTGCCATTGTTTAGTTGATTTAACTTTATTCTTTTTTACTGTCTTACTCTCTGCTTACTTACGCCTGTTACCCCTCGTGGAGGAGAAGAGACTGCTCACCAGTATTATCCATCGAACTCTGTCCTGGGCAATCCTTTCGAGTTCTTTCCAGTTGCTATTCATCTTCTTCATATCTCCCTCCAATTATCAACGCAATGTGTTTTTTGATCTTCCTCTTTTCCGTTTTTATTAGGGAATCCAAGTTAGAACTTCTCTCGTGATGCAGTCTAATGATTTCCTCAAAGTATGTTCTATCCATCTGAAGCGGCTTTTCCTAATTTCCTCTTCATTTTGAAGCTGGTTTGTTCTCTTCCACAATAGGTTGTTGCTGTTGGTATTCAGTCAACAGACATTGAGTATTTTGCGTAGATAATTGTTTATAAATACTTGTGCTTTTTTGTTTGTGGTTGTGGTATCTCTCCAAGTTTCAGCTCCGCACGGTAGAACTGTCTTTATTTTTGTATTGAAGTTTCTGGCTTTGGTGTTGATTGGCAGTAGTATTGAATCCCATATGTTCTTTAACTGTAGGGATACTGTCTTCGCTTTGCCTATCCTTTCCTTTACGTTATCATCAGATCCTCATTCATCGATGATGCTTAACAGGTATGTGAATGTCATATCTTGTAACCGAGTGGGATGCCTAGTTAATGTGTAACGTGATAATACCGCCAATTAGAGAGCAATGAATTATCGATCGGACTACTTACTTACGCCTGTTACCCCTCGTCGAGGAGCATAGGCCGCTCACCAGCATTCTCCATCCAACTCTGTCCTAAGCCTTCCTTCCCAGTTCTTACCAGTTACTATTCAGCCTTTTCATATCGGCTTCTATTTCCCGGCGTAGTGTGTTCTTTGGCCTTCCTCTTTTCCGCTTCCCTTCCGGATTCCAAGTTAGGGATTGAGTCGTGATGCACATTGGTGATTTCCTTAATGTATGTCCGATCCACTTCCAACGTCTTTTCCTAATTTCCTCTTCAGCTGGAAGCTGGTTTGTCCTCTCCCATAAAACGCTGTTGCTGATAGTATCCGGCCAATGGGTGTTGAGTATTTTGCGTAGACAACTGTTTATAAATACTTGCACCTTTCTGATGATTGTCGTAGTAGTTCTCCACGTTTCAGCTCCATACAGTAGGACTGTCTTCACGTTTGTATTAAAGATTCTGACCTTGAAATTGGTTGAGAGTTGTTTTGAGTTCCATATGTTCTTCAATTGTAGAAATGCTGTCTTTGCTTTGCCAATCCTTGCCTTTACATCTGCATCCGATCCTCCTTGTTTATCAACGATGCTCCCCAGGTACTTGAATGTTTCCACCTCTTCCAGAGTTTCGCCATCAAGTGTGATTGGGTTGGTGTTCTCTGTGTTGCATTCGAGAATCTTGCTTTTTCCTTTGTGAATGTGGAGGCCTATCGATGCGGAGGCTGCTGCTTCATTTTCGGTCTTCATCTGCATTTGTTCGTGTGTATGAGAGAGGAGGGTTAGGTCATCTGCGAAGTCCAAATCATCTAATTGATTCTGAGCTGTCCATTGTATTCCGTATTTCCCTTCAGATGTCGAATTCTTCATAATCCAGTCAATCACTAGAAGGAAGAGGAATGGGGAGAGTAGACAGCCTTGTCTGACTCCGGTCTTTACTGGAAATGCATCTGTCAGCTGTCCTCCATGCACGACTTTGCACTGTAGTCCATCGTATGAGTTTTGGATAATGTTGACAATCTTTTCAGGAACTCCATAGTATCGAAGAAGTTTCCATAATGTTCTCCTGTCCATGCATCGATCGGACTAATGACACACGAAACCCATACGAGCAGTCTAGAGTACTTGCCGGTCCTGCCTTCTGCTCAGTCAGTTAAGTCCAGAACACTAATAAAAATCTTTGCAATATAAATCATTTTTTCCAAACATACTGAGTTTATGAAAAACCTGAACCAGATTGCCATGCAAAACACTGAATTTACTTCAAATTCATTCGCTGAGATTTTACAAATATACTATTCCTTTTTAATGTCTTACATCAACTCGGCGCCCGAATACTGTGAAACTATTCGCTCTAATTTAGACGAAAGTTCTTATATACTGGATTTGTATACCAAACAGACAAACCGCATCGTACCATAAAATAGGAAACAACATTTGCACAAGATTTAGTCAAATGTGGCTGTGAACGTGGGAGGCAGGAATTAATAGACTGGGGATAACGCAAGAATGGTAAATCGTATAATAATAATCTATAGGTAAAAATAAAGCTTATAATAAGAGGAGCATGAATATGAATATTTTAGTTATTTAGCAATTATACGATAGAAATATGTGCATAGTATTGGTTCACAAATGGATCCCAAAGTTACCATTCATCATCCTTATTGGGGCGTAACAGTGAAAGATTCCACACCTTCCAGAGCTTCTCCATCAAGTTTGATTTGGTTGTTGTTCTCCGTGTTGTATTTGAAGATCTTGCTTTTCGCTTACAATTCTAGTTTGGTAAATTCTCATTGTTTTTGTCTTATCCTATATTCTTCTTGTTATTATTTTTACTATTCTTCTTCTTCTTCTTCTTATTATTATTATTGTTATTATTATTATTAACATACTTTCAGATATATCTCATCTCTTGTTTTCGAGATTATACATGTAAATCCATCGTTGGGTTAGATTTGTGGAATGAAGTTCTATAAAGATTTTCGTTTAGTTAATAGTTAGATCTACAGATCTCAACCAAGTTTTATTTAAAATTCAGTCATTCATGGAGTAGTAATGACATATTAAATGTACATGAGCAGACAATTAAAAAACGTGCTAGCTAAGCAATACGTTTTCAGCTTAGTTATTTTTGTTACAAAACTGGTTCTTGGTACATGTTTATTTCCGAACACTTTCGAGGTCTTCACTCTGATAGGATAGCTATATGTTATTGTCCGGAGAAAGTTGTAACACTTAGTTCGTCTAGATTTGTAATATTCATCTGTTCACTCACTCAGTTAATCTTCAACTGGATCAAAATTGACGTTTTTATACCGTATCAATTCACGATGTCGTAAAGTTTACCTTTTTTTATCATTTACATGCAGATATCCACTGAGCTGGTTGATGCATCGTCATATAACCGCTCTAGGTCTTCCGGTAGTAATGCATGAATTTGTACGACCTTTATTAGAGAGACTACAGAAGGAATGTATTCCTGTTGATAAAGATATATACCACTCTTTGTTAAGTTCAATCCCATGGCCCAGAGTCGTTCGACCGGAAGTATTTGCAATGGCATTAGTTGTTATATTGTTACGTCTTGTATTCAAATTCGATGATACCTTCGAAGTAAGTTAGTTTTCAATATCATTGCTAAATTAAACTCAAATCGGTAATATTCATTTCATGTTCCGATTTCATTCATTGTTTTCCACAGTTACTTTGTCATTTATAGTCAGATGATAATATCAACAAAGCTGCCAATTTACTCGACAATTTCCCACTGGTTATCACAAAAAAGGAGTGCTCGGTTAGACCCATATCAATCCTGTAGAAGTACTTTGTGTTCTAATGGTGTACATTACATGCCAGACATACGTACACTAACCGGCAACTGATTGAATAGGTTGCTTGTCTATCATCGCATAGTAAGACGATGTCATCAGCATAATCAAGGTCGGAAAGTTATTCTCAAAGTAAAACTTTCAGAGCTGTTTCGACAATTCCATCAATGACTAGGTTAAATAACGATATAGACGTGCTCCAACCTTGTTTAATCCAACTGTCGGTTTGGTACACAAAATTTAGCTCATTTTCAGACCAAAGTGCATTGAAATGTTATATATTGTGAAGAATTATAATACAAAAAGGCCATACTATAAAAAATGAATAAAAATAAAAGGTATTTAGCAAAATGTATAGTTTAATAGAAAATAAAGCTGATAATGATTAATAATTAAGTGGGCTCATCTAATTTCTCTAGAAAATAAAGTATCGTCAACTACCTTTTTGAGTTTTATTTAATACTTCCTTAAAGCATTGAGTTGCATGATCTTTAGGACCTCAGCTGAGGAGTTATGATGAACTGACAGATGTCAGTCATATACAACTATCTCATACCACAGCGTCATGTCATAAACTGACTACCTCTCCGTTTTATTCTAGTTAGTCCCAGCTTCGGGAAGTAATGAATGATATGCGATCTCCTGAGATGATATATGTAAAATTTGTTCGGGCCACCAAAACCAGTATTTCAATTTGGTGAGACTTATTGACACTGTGGCCGAATTCACATTGCCGGACATCGGTATCAATGACATAATGTTGTCGTTGTATGTTCGCAATTCGTTAAAGGTGATAATTATTTATTTTATATATTTAAACACATAAATATTGGTACAAGGAAGCACCAGATACATATGCGCCGCACAAATCTCATTCGATTTGTATGAGGGCTGTGATACTGACCAGGTGCCCAGACTGAAGCAGGTGGTTTTCTTAAGGAGCCACACCCGGAGCCTTTGACCTGAATGTCTGATCCACAAGGCAGTGGAGCATCGTGAGGAGATGCAGTCCCATGTTAGCCGGTGATCAACGGTTGATTCGTACGCCATTTGTTCCCTCAGGATACTGGAGCCCATGTGACCATTGGTTTGGAATCAGGGTTTTCCAACTCCCCTAGGTGGACTCACCTTGTCCACCAACCCGGTTAAAGCGCCGGACATTCACTTTTCGTCCTCTCAATTTCGTAAAAAACACCCGCCATGAGAAGGCAGTGACTAGGACTTCCCTGGTGATAATGATCAAACACATAGTTGTAGAATGTCACCAACTATGAAATCTTCACTTTCCTCACACAATTTTCGTTCTCCTTTTGTCCCATGAGATATTTGGTGATTGTAAACTTTTACTTGAACGGATTTTCAGGTGTCATCTATACGAATTCATTGCTTTTTTGTTTTACTAATTACTTAGCATCGACTTAGTTCTGTCGCCAAAGCTTTGGAGTTATTTCCCAATCGTCCGGTTAAAAGTGGTCAAACGTCAGACGTCTCATTATACGATCGACCTTTTATTTGGATTTCATGGGTGCAATATATCAACTCACGATTTCGTCCATCTCACAAACTTAATTTAAATTCGTTCAAAATTGATCAAAATCCATATAGTAATGCTCGAGTTCGTGAATCTAATCGACCATTAGTCATGACTGCTAGTCAAGGATCTGAACTACTTAACTTAGATAAAGCTTCTGATTTCTTAGGTTCAACTGAATTCAAAATTGGTCGTGATATTGGTTGGGGTGAGGAAAGCATGAAAAAAATTAAAATAGCTGATGTGAGTTCTACTATATTGTGATTAAATTCTTATGTTTGTGTATCACATAAATAAAGTTAGAGATTACTTTAAATTAATTCAAATGTCTGGCGTTTATATAAACCTATTTGTAAGTGGTTGCTTCATTGTTTTAGATTTGGTGGTTAATTGATATCACGTGAATAGACTCACTACTCAGAATCCTGTTATATTTCTGTATGAACTAACGTCCTACATGCTTTCTGATAACGATTAACCTTAAGCTGTGACCAAAGTAATATAAACGCCTATTTGTTTAAATGCAACATTCTACTCCCAATATTCAGTATTATAAGCGAACACGGTGAGCAAATAAGATATGTGTTGTGCAGTAGTTCGTTATATAGCTCAATCCCTACAATAATATGCAGTAATTTTTTTGACCAAACATCAACACAGATAAAATATTACAATGTGGGCATAACTACGTCATAAGCGAAAGAGAACTAAGCAATTGATTCGCGGTTAGTCAAGAATAACTCAAGAAAGGTAAAACATACTGTTATAAACGTAAAGGGGGCTGAGAGAGAGGATGCTGGTTATAACAGTAGGGGTTCTAGTTATAACAGTCCTTTTACTTCTTACACGTATGTGGGACGTTAATTTATCTTAGACGAAATCTACACTAGATTCCCACCCAGTGTCTATTCTACAGGACTTCAACAGAACTCAGATCAAGAACACAATATTAGCCTGACTATAACGTCAATATATTTCACACCAAAATCCTACACATGAACAGTCAATAAGTCAATACATAATAAGGATAGGGAAATATATATATATATATATAACACCTGTCATCCCCTCTAATGTCTGACTCATCGAGACAACCAATCATTGACATTCTCGCCCACACATCATATACAACAATAGTTTATGCCCCAAACGAGGGGTTGCAGTTAGAGTAATATAATATTATTGAGATGGGGGGGGAAGGTTTATAGCTGAGGTGGCTGATTTTGGTGCAGTTTCGTCCTCTGAGCTGGATAGGTTAGTCGTGGAGCTTTCATTGTTCTTCTGAACAACATTAGCACAAATTTCAGGTAGAAGTGAAATATTCACGTTTCTCCACATATAACTTGCATCTTGTCTTGTCGACCTGGATCTTGATTAGTTATTGCTGACCTTTAACCTGTCATTATTTCTCTATTTCGAACTGTTTGTTTGTAATGAATTACTGATAGACAAGTTAGACCAGCAAAATTAAATAAATTCCTTGGTAGTTTAAAATTTATGTTTGTTTCTTAAAGAGCGATTCTTTCGAATTGTGTTTTTGTTACATCTTATCATATGACGCCATATATATATATATATATATATATATATATATATATATATATATATATATATATATATATCGCTATCTTGAATCAAACATTTTTGTTATATCTTGTGGCCGAGTGGATGCCCAAGTTAATGTGTGACTTGATGAGACCGCCAATCAGAGAGTAGCGAATTATCGATTGGAACGAAAACCGTACGAGCAGTCTAGAGCGCTTATCGATCCTGCTTCTGCCTAGCCCAGCCGGTTAAGTCAAAAACACCAATAACAGCCTCTGCGGTATGAATCCTTGTATTTCAAATATACTGAGTTTATATACCAAGCAGACTGACTACATCGTACCAATAAAATAGGAGATAACATTTGAACAGGATTTAGCCAAATGTGGCTGCGAATGCGGAAGGCAGTAATTAATAGATTTGGGATAACTCAAGTATGGTAAATCGTACAATAATGGTCTATAGGTCAAAATAAAGCTCACAATGAAATGAACATGAATATGAATAGTTTAATTATTTAGCATATATACATAATACTGATCCATATATTGATCCCAAAGTAACCATTCACTATTGTTATCGGGACATAACAATTTTACTTCATTCTTGAACGGAATTCCTCTTTTCCATATTGCACAAACATATTCTTAAGGGGAAAACTAAATGTTTTACTCATTGGAAGATCTTGTGTTTTGGCTGAAATGGAATTTATTTTTGTCGCATAGAAACCTGGTGACTATTTATTCTGGCAAAGTAGTATATGTATGGAAGAATTTCAAAAATAAATATTTACAACTCTTAATATTTATTTCTTATTGTGAATATTGCGTATAACGATTTTTGCCGAATAGTGTGCTTTTCTTTATGAGCATAAACTTTTTTAAAATTGATTACATTTCAACATTATTACTATAAAATACGTACTTAGTGATTATATGCTTTTCTTGTGAATATGCTCATTTCATATTATCATTCGTCATTTTCTTCACTTAGGCTTCAGTAAAATTGTCATTATCTCAGCCATTGCGTAATCTATTCGAACCATATCAAGTGAATTATTTGACTGAGTCAACTGTATCTACTCAAAGTCACTGTACACATCGTCATCAAATGGTTATCGATGATTTAACATCTGATTCTAGTACTAACAGTAAAAAAAACACATTTTACAAATGTTTAATACGTTCAGATTACGAACAAGATGGCTTACTAAGCCCATTTCTCAATACACAGTTAAACTTTTTGTATAACAAAGGTATTAATGTCAATGATTATATTCCAAATGCTTTTAATGACCATCAAACATCGACCGATTCATACGGATTTAATGATTGCACTATAAGAGAGTGGTGGTTAGTTTTGATAAATCAACGTTCTGATTACTTCCCTGTATGTATTGGAGAATGGTCTTCAAATTCTTCCACTAAATCTCAGTGGAAAAATCGTCATCGTAGCAAACAGCCACTTATTTTACCAAAACCAGTAGAAGAATTCATTGCTAAACATGATGAAAGTTTATCCAAAGCACTTGGTCATGATCATGATGAATTAGTTCATGCCAAACAAAATGACAAGGATGATTCTCAAAAAGGAGGTAATGTATATTGATTGACAGTTTCCATCGTTTTGTTTTGCTAATTTGACAATTTTCTTTTTTATTTTGGCTTTTTTATTATTTGAATTAAAACATTTCAAAAGTACTATCCATTGTACAGGTTCGAAAGGAATAATAATTTTTAGGATGTATATCTCTTACCAATAATGTCAACTATAGCCAATATTAATTTATCTCATCAGAATTAAGTTTTTTTACTGACAAGTCATTTTATCGTCGAGTGACAACAACAACTTGATCTATATATATCATCCACAAATAAGTTGCATTCTTTTATATTCCCTTCATTACACCTAATACACTTTATTCTACAAGTTTAACAGTCATTAGGTTGTTATTATGTGGCTGAAAAGTAACTGTCATTATTTTGAGATGGTGGAGAAGATTTGTAGCTCAGGTGGATGATTCTGATGGAGTTTTGTTTTCTGACCTGGATGGTTTAGTCGTGGAGCTTTCATCGTTCTTCCGAACGACATCATCAGCATAAACTTAGGGCAGAAGTGAGGTGCTGATTATGTCGTTCAGAAGAACGATGAAACCTCCACGACCAAACTATCCAGCTCAGAGAATAAAACTCCATCAAAAACTATCATCATCATCGTTGTTAGAATTAGCATTAGTTCATGTAGTTGTTTAGTATTGGTAGACACAGACTAACTGTTTGGTGTTTGAGCTATCCGTGATTGGAGACATCGAGTGACTCACTAAGTGGATGTTATATTTTCTATTATTACGACCCAGCTATTCCTATTGCTTAGTGTTCTTGGACACCAATGCACTCGACAAGTCACCAAATCAGAACACGGTTGAATAGGGAAGAAATTATATTCTGAATAACAAGGAGAGATGGAAGTACGAAGCACAATAAGAAATACGTTGGTATATTTGTAGTTTTTACATGAGAAGATTCTAGAGTCTTTTCCAAGCATCGACTAGAGCTGATTGGATAAGAATGAGACAATCAGCATGCACCAACACAACTGTGCGTGGAACATGCTTTAATCCAATCTATTTCCCTCTAACAGTGGAGTAGGTGCACTTACGCTTTATCATCTAAGTCTTGAGCTTCATAACTATTTCATATTTTTATCGCTGAAATCCGCCCATTCTTTTCTCACTGTATTAATGTTTAATCTTTCCTACTCTCATGGAACTATCATTTCGGCTCTTTTGCCATTCTTCTTGTTAGTTTAGTGTCTTTGTGTTGATGTGCTATGTTAATCTGTCTGTTACGCATTTATACTAGGATCCATGCTACCAGACGTGCAACACCAAAGATACTTATTCTCTCCTGTGGAGACTTATCTGAGCACTAAGTTTTACAGAAGCGATTTAGTCGCATTAGTTGTTAGGGAAACAATGTATAAACGTCGCTACATGTGCATATAGTCACATTTCCGTTCATGTCAGAAATATATAACCCAAATGATTACATTTCTTAAGCACATTAGTTACTTCACTTACGCGCTATCGAGCTTTTCTACAAGAGTTCATATTATGTTCTCACTTCTCTATACGTGTAATCGTGTCCAATCGATTACCGGTATTCATGGTTAAGAAGCACTTAACCAATGTCGAGTCTCAATCTATATCTTAGTTTGTCTTAGGATTGATAATCACCCAATATCTCGTTTTTTGAAGAGCACTAAGCTGTATAACTAGGAATGTTTCATCTGGGTTGTTTTTCTCATTATAAACTTCGATATTTCAGCTAATTATGTCAACACACATTTTACCACTTGACTTTCAAATTAGCCCGTTCATCTAATGCAAACGTAGACTGTGTGTAAAGATATTTAACATAAAGTTCACGGGATGTGGTTGCATCTCAGAAATGAGAAGTATGAATGCATAACTAATCACTGTCATTCAGTTTAGAGCATGCAAAATTTACTGTTTTTAGGATTTCAGCATATTGCATTGTAATAAGACTTATTTAATTATGTGAATCATTTTAATGTTGTTTACGAGTTATCTGATTAATTTATTATCCGCATTTTTTATGTGAATTTCTACGCGTTTATTAGAATTCAACGATCCCAATGCTCTTCAGAGCTCAAAAGCTAAGGAACCTGTATGTTTACATTGTTCTGATCCAAGTCAAAGTATGAAGTGGCTAGTCGACATCTGTGCAATGATTTGTGGAGCGTCTAATATTAGATCACTACTCACTGAAATTGAATGTCTAGAACGCTTGCTTAAGTGGCACGCAAAAGCTTCATGTTCACCCTCAATTTCAGGAAATGATCCACGTCAAGTTGACTATGCACTTTTGTCATTTTTTGATTTGAATGTAGATATTTGTGAGGTATCAGGAGATATGTAGATTAGTTACTCTTTCTATATTTTTTTTCTGATGTGTCGTTCTCAAATTAATTTGTACAGAGATACCAATTATCTATAGTTTACTTATTTTATCAGTTGTACTTGAACTAGATTTGTTATATAAGTTGTGTATTTGTGGAAGTAAATATGTTTTTCATTGAATTGCACAGTACAAAGAAAAAATCTTAACGTACATAGACTTAGTGAGTTGAGGTTATTGATAAATGTAAGGTTTTGTAATTGCATTAAGATATAATGATAGTTTGCCGTATGGTATTATGGGTAGTCTTTATGAAGTTGGTCCCATCAGCATCTTAGTTTCTGAACCTTATAGAATGTCAGTCAGCTACAACGCAGTACCACGCACATATATGCATCGGTCCGAGTTGCCACACCTCATAAGAACGACAAGATGAACACCAAATTCATAGAGATGGTTATTTCAATGTTAGCAATATATAAGAGAAAAAATTGTGTATAAGGATATCATAAAGGAAGAATTAGTTCATAGAAAGAAAGGTATGAAGCAATTTTAATATAACGTTTATAGGAAGACAAGAAGTGTACACACCTTATAGTATGACTAAGTTGCGGGCTTGGTCAGGTGTGTATCGACGGTTTATCAACCTAGAACTTTCTATGACGTCTACGTCTTCAGGGTACTTCTGGTTATTGATAATGTAAGTGGAGGAAGTACATAACACTATTTTTTAGGTTAAGTGGATAACTATTCCGCCTACCATACCTTCGTCAACGCAAATTCAATTCCTAGTTAAACAAGTCGGTATGAACATGTAGCGCACATACCCAGTTGAAGCTAGACTCAGTATGCTATTCTGGTTTGTATTAACGGTGAAACTCCAAGCCAAGGCATGATTTCGGTTCATAAAGCCATGGACTTTTGAGTAAATTGTCTGTATTAGGCTCTATCGAGGTACTAACTGGTTATAAAAGCTGAAACTGATAGGGTGTTTAAAATTTATTGCTCAGACGTTTGATATCCACTTAGGAAGTGTTCGTTAGGATCAACACCTTGTTTGACAAAGCAAGAATCAAGTAGTCGGTTCTAGTTGATCTAATATTAGAGACCAAAAATGGTAGGTTTTCCTCGCATTTCGACAGTAAATAGATCGTAATGTCAGTTATAAATAATGCGCGAAGACAATGTAGAAAATTCGCATCGCGACTACACTAGTATGTGCGCTTTGTGACAGTAATATATTCAATACCAAATAAGCAGTAGAATATCTACAGACCCTACTACTTTGGCCATCGACTAAGGCTTATTATAGCTGGCTATACCAGCCTTATGCTGCTTTCAGTCAGTCATTCACAACGTAGAACTTCGTATGTACGTGCATCAGTTCGAGTTGCTATACCACATTAGCACACAGATGCAGTTGTCGATTCAAATCCCAGAGTGGTAGAAGTAGTAAGAGTATAAGCAGTAATCGGAAAGATTAGGGTTTGAAGAAATTATTGAAGGAGTATAATCCAGTGGAATAAATTTGGAAAGAGAAAAAAAATAAAGACATGAAGAATTCAGAAAATTAGAATTTGGCAGAACACAAAGAGTGGATGCACTTTCGCCATTGCAAACGATTTTGAGCCATGTCATTCAAGGTCTCTAACCATCGGTTGCTATCATCTTGCGGATCCCAACAAGGTAGTCTACACCTACCAACATGGCCCAGTCCACTTGTCAGTGACTTCATGGATTTGTGCCACGTTTTGGTTTGGCCGCCCCTAGCTTTCTTCCAACCTACACCATAAAACATTGCACGTCGAGGCAGTCGTTGATTAGGCATACGTAACACATGTCCCCGTCATCTAAACTGATCAAGTTTCACTACTTCATCAATCGATCTGCCATCATTATCTAGTACCCGTTTCCTAACAACTGCATTACTTACCCGGCGGTCCCAGGATATACGAGCAATGCGTCGAAGACACCTATGATCGAATACTAGTAGCCTACGAATATCCTCTACTCTTATCGGCTATGTTTCACTACCATAAAGTAGGACGGAACGAACTGCCGCACAGTAAACCCGTCCTTTGATTGTTAGACGGATATCTCGCCTACGCCATAAATGACGCAAGTTGGTGAAAGCTAGTCAAGCCTTCAGTATCCGTGTTGAGATTTCGTCACACACTAGACCGCAAAGGCTGTTGAGACTTCCAAGATAAGTGAAGCAGTCAACATGCTCAACTACTTCACTCCCTATCATTAGTTCAGGTGTCGATGCAACCCAGTCCTGAAGTAACATTTCGCAATTCGAGGGGGAGAATCGCATCCCGAACATGCCTGCATTGTTGCTTATAGTGGTCAGATGACTGCATTTTGTCAGCGTCTTCACCAAATAAAACTATGTCATTAGCATATTCTAAGTCAACAAGTAATTCTGGTAGAAGTTCAACTCCTTGAAATTTGGATGCGGAAGGTGTTACTTCTAAAAGCAAGTCTACGATAAAGTTAAACAAAGAGAGAGTGGACAGCCCTGACGAACACCACTTAACGTAATCAATTATGATGACAGTTCGCCATAAGCTCTAACTCGACCAGTTGTGTTTGAGTAGATGGCCTTTATGAGGTTAATGTATTTCTTTGGTACTCCTTTCAGTGACAAACACTGCCACAGAACCTCACGATCAATGTAGTCAAATGTCGCTTTAAGGTCGAGAAATACTACGATTGTGGGGCGTCTGAATGTATGTCTATGTTCTAGGACCTGACGTAGAGTGAACATCTGGTCTATGCAACCACGTCCAGGTCGAAAACCAGCCTGGTTTTCTCTAGTCTGCTCTTCACGAGTTTTGTTTAGGCGTCGAAGTATTATTGATACTAATATTTTAGACACAATATTAACCGAACTGACTCCTGTGATTGCCACAAGAGGACTTCTATCCTTTCTTATAGACTGGCACAACCAGTGATTGAGACCAGTCTGATAAAATTACGTTTAGTCCTCAGTCAATCTCACTGCTAATACTGGACCGCCATCCTTAAAAATCTCAGGAGTAAATCTGTCGGGACCTGCTGATCTCCCTCGCTTCAGATTTCCTACAGCTTTTTCAACCTCGTAGAGAGTTGGAGGACTTAGATCAATTTGCCATTCAGGACGACTGAGAATCGTGGGTAACTGAAGTGTGACTGAAGGAAAAGTTGAACTGATTCTTAGTGTTTTGCCCATCTATCCATTCTCCTGGATTGAGAATGAATAATATATCTTTCTTTTTCCGAGATAGTTTCGCTGACAGTTGGGTTCCTAATACCGGTTTCCTTAACAAGTCTAAATAGTTGTCTATTGACACTGCCTTTTCCATCTCTCTTGCTTTCGTTACCCACCACCGTTCGCGATCATTGCGTAAGCTTCTTATTAGCCTGCGCTTAAGCTGACTCCGCTCTTCGTTAAGTTCAGAGCCAGGTGGGATGAGTTTTCGAGCATCTATCAGTGCGGTAGATGCTGCTGAGATCCAGTGTGTGTCCCTAACCTTATGGTTTACCTTACTAGCGGATATCACTGCTGTTTCCACAGCTTTTCGGATGTCATTCCACGCTGTCTCGGGGTGGGCACAACTTACATGGCTGCCTAACTGCTTTTCTGGTTGTTCCTGAAATATATTCTTAGCCTGGTTATCATTAAGTAGAACCCTAAGAGGTTTCCTTGCAGTGTCTTTCCTACCTCCAGTAAGACGCAGACAGATACGTGCTCGCACTAAAGCATAATCTGAATCTAAACATATGCTCCAGAATGAGCGATAGTCTTCTATCGAGCCCCTCCATCGGTGGCTGATAGCGATGCGATCTAGTTGAGTCTAACGTTGGGACGAACTCTGGGGTCGCCATGTCAAAAGATGATTTCCCTTGTGCTTAAAGTTAGTGTTTGCAAGAAACAGGCGGTTATCTGGATATATCTGCAACAGACAGTCGCCATTATCTGTTCTTTGAGCCACGACACTAAAAGATCCACCCGGGTGTCTTTACTTTTTGCCAAGTTTACCTACTTGAGCATTAAAGTCACCAGCCACTATTACTACATCAGAACGCCTAACTTTTCAGAGAAGGTCGGAAAGCTTTCTGTAAAACTCATCTTTTACATCATCTGAGCTGCAGCCAGTGAGAGAGTAGGCAGAGACGAAGAGGCAACGACGAGTTTTCATATCTTTCCGAGTCCTTACAGTTCCGCTTTGTCAGACAGTGCACAGACGACTGTTTACTGGGATCCAGTCTAAGAGAATTAGTTCTGCCCTAGGACTTAATGTTATACCTACGCCAGCGAGGCCACGGGAAGCAGCATCAGAGCTTCCAGATACACGAAGCGTGAATCGAGTTGGTTTTTTATTATGATATGGTGGTGAAATGAATGACACTACTCAGATCATGTATGAGCGTTTCGGAGACGCAGCACACATAGACGATGCGAGATTCTAAAGTCCTGTTGTCCTATTTGGCACAATGTTCGAACGTTAAAAGTTCCTACATGTAATTTAGGGCGCGGTTTCAGGAGACCAGGAATAACGTTCCGTGTATTCGATTCGTTCGCCCTAGCAGTGCGAGGTGATAAAAAGACGTGAGAAGCGTTAGCTGTGGAGATAAGAGAGTTATTAAATGTAGGAGGGATTTGAATGTGACCAACTTGGTCTCGTGTGTTGTTACAGGTATGAGGGCTAATATCACTTCCCGGATGCCCACATCGTGAAAGGGTATTTCTTGAGGAATCTAAAAAGGAAGGTGGATTAATTTTAGTCTTAACGACTTGGGAGCGTGATCGCAGAGCCCAAGGGACAATTTCTTGAGGCGTATTATCTCCGTTCTTCAAAAGGCCTCACCGCCGGAGACGGAAATCCGTGAGGTAAGGTGAGGCGTGACATTTTTAGGATCGACCTTTTGTAACCCCTTACTTCCTTGTGAGAAGGCAGCATCGCTGCAGATGCTGGTTGTCCGAGGGAAACACCTTACTGCTGTCACACCTTTCTACAGTCAGCAGTACGATTTCGCCCTCAGACGTTGAGTTGCTCCTTTTAGTTTTACCGTCCTCCAATCGACCTGCCTGGCACGGTAGAACCTACAGGAACATACGTTTCAGCCAATATAGCTTGAGTGGGCCATCACGACAGACAAGCCCGTCAAGATAGCAGCTACGGTCGGTCTTTTAGGTTTCTCTTGTATCCTTACATAGTCTCAGAGTCCGTCTTTAAAGTCATTTATTAAAAAAAGCATTATCGAGAATCTCCGGTCAGTTTTCTAACTAGATTTTGAGCGTTATAATTGCTTTATTCTCCAGTTCAAGAGCTTACAACACCAAAACAGACTTGAAAAGCATTTATTAGAAAATGACCAAGAAAAGATAATACATATTGAGCCACATACCGCTATATTATCTAAAGGGAAATACATTTTACACATATGAAACGAAAGTTCAGACAAGCAACTTCGAATACAAAAGGATGGGCAATGTGAGACTAGATTTATACATAGTTTTCCCACACAAGTTTATTTTTTCAGATATGAACCAGACATTAGGCATGTACAATAAAACAGATGTTTTAGCAGATATTAAAAGATGAAAAATTAATTTACATTATTCAATTAGCTTCTTAGACTTGAAATAACGTCTTAAATAAAGGACCTGCCAACATGCGAAACCGATGAGGATTACCATTGAAAGGATTGAAAAGTAGAGGACCCTTGTGTGAGTAGATTCTAGAAAATAAAAAGTAACAATCAAGTTGGGTTGGTTTTTAAGGAAATTCAAATGAAGTAGAAACATCAATATTTTTAAGGGAAGTAATACTACAGCCGATGTGAAATAACTGGTAATAAGATTTTTTTAGTACTCATCAGTATTGGTTTGTTAAGAGATTAGCAAGCAATGAAAAATTTGTTTAATAAAATATAGAGATTAGACCCGGATATATACATAGGGGACACCAAATACATACGCGCCACACAATAACAATAAGGTTATGAAGAGAGGATGTAAAGTGAGTGTAATAAAAGAGAGGACAACGAACATAAGTTAGAGTACAGTAGTGAAATAATGATAATATTGGGAGAAACAAACGGTTAGCAAAAATACAACCAGAAGGAATTGAAAGAAGTTGCATTTACTTTTATAAAGTAAGGGAAAGTTACAGCAGTGTCGCCACTGGTTTCTATTCTGAGCCATGTCTGCTAACATCTCTAGTCACTTTGTTGCGTCATCTATAGGACCACAGTCAGGTGGGACTCACAGAAGCCGTCCTGTACAACCTTTTATATCACGACACCATGTCATACACTGGTCACCTCTCCACCCTTACCAACAGGTCCAAGCGTTGGCAACTATGCAAGACGTGGAATTCTTTAAGACGGCATTAGTATGATATGATAATAGCGAGCGGATTAGTTGAGAGTGTTGATTACTTCAGTTACTATGGTGGTTTTATTAGCCCTGGCAGCTTGGTATCTGATGAGATTCCGGCAAGGATTCAACAATTTCATGTTTTTCGACACAAAATTTGTGGCATAAGTGAGATATTCCTAAAGCTATGAAAAGGCCGATATATGCAGCAGTCATAGATTCGAAAACAACCTGTAGTATGAGTTAGAGCAACGCACATTTGTGACATATTCTACTCTGATTGCTGCTGATACTTTCCAGTGGACTCGCTTACCGAGGGTAAATATAAGCTTCAATGAATGAAAAACAAATACCTATTAACTACATGTAGGTTCAAGAAAAACAAAGACATGGGTTACTGTCAACCGAAAATGTGCTGAATAAACGTTTTCATATACAAACAAAAAACAAAACGTGACATTACGCCACTATACAGAGTCGAACATCATCGCTGGCACAGAGGAAACGAAGCGGCTCCAGAATATTTTAGCATAGTACGAAAAGTAGAATAGCCACTTACTGATGAGTCAAACCTATTTCATCTTAAGATTCTGGAGATGTGTGAACCTTGACAAGTCCTGTTGTAATAAGTTCTTAATATAATGTGGAAAATAATAGCAGAAACCTCAGCTATTATCGCTGTTAGTCTAGTGTGTGAATAGTGATCACCATCACGATAATGGTTAATGAGACTACACTTAAATTAAAAATGTAATAAAAGTTAGCCTTAACAGGCCTAAATAATTCCTTACGTTAGTAGAATGTTTAGCCACATGCGCTAGGCTAGTTTTAAGAGTTTTCCCCACAACGACGACTGATTGTGAGGAAATCATTAAAGTTTTCATTGATCTGGGATTTATCTTCAAAATTTATACGAACTTAGAAATTTTTTATATCTTATATGAGGCGACAAGAGTGTGACCACAGCATTACTTACCGTTGATGTTTCGCATTTTGCTACTTTTCGAATGCATGAGAACGAAATCTTGCACGATTTCATCAGCTAGACTTTCAAGTTTTTTCAGTAGCACTTCGATTGGTTGCAACTTCTCTGCTTTCGCCATCTACATACATAAGCGAAAAGTGGACAACAAACCTTATCGAAATCTTTAGCCTCCGTACCGTGTTTGATATTAAGAAAGACTTCTTGCTCCGTCTCAGTATTATCTAGCAAACTTAGAAGACATGGAGAAATACAAATACCTGGCTGACTTTCGAAGCACACCTCAAATAAATCAAAGTCTTCCGTTGTGAATGCGAATTTCCCGTTTCTTATATTATCTCTCTGATACAGTATATGTTTTTTCACATCACGGACTTTGATATGGGTTGTGTGTTCATGGGGAGCAGTTATCTCATACTCACCATGTACAATAACGTCTTTGTGTGCCTCGTCTTGAATACACTTTGTAACACCGTTTTTAAGCTTAAACCTCAGCCCTTTAATTGTTGATAAGCAACAAGACAGTAACCATATTGCTGACACAACACAAATGAACCTCATTTAGTACGTTGCGTACACGTCTAAACGCCAAGTTCACGAAACCCCTACATTAGCCCAGAATAAGGCAAACCATGTTCAATATCTGTTAGAGTGATCCAATATTCAATACATATCTGACCAACGTATATATCAGATCCCCATCATATTAAAAGACCAATATATGAACGAAGAATATTATTTTCGATTAATTCTCTTCAGGTTCTACAATTATATTATCCAAATTAATAATCCAAATAGTGGCCAGGTTAACTAGATAGCACATCGTTTAAAGTTAAAGCATATGAATTTAGGATTGACAAATAAAATAGAATAATATTGTTAATGTTGATATGATTCATACAGAATGCTAACTTGAATCTGTATATATATTAAGCGAAAATCTAAGATTTGTGATCAGAATAAATTCTGATCAGCTAGGGTTCATTTGTGTGCATCTATATCTACCTGCCTAAAGTTGTACTATTTCGGGAATTATTAGTTAGCACAGTAATTCGAATTTTTCTGTTTATTATAGTCCTGTATCTTTATTTGATCTTTTAAGATTGACTCTCCTTTAATTCTATGACACTGAGATTGTTGAGAGGTAGTCTGATGTGAGCCTGATGGCCGGACTAGACATGTGGAAATCTTGCCTTACCAATGTGGTGTTAGTATGTTTGCTAGCTACACTTCCTCAGACGTTCTTGTCCACAGATAATTAAATTAACGCACTGTGTCATTGAATAACAACAGAATTGATGGAAAAACATTTTCCCAAAGAGATTTATTTAAACTGCACATTTGTATTTATAGTCTTTTGATAGACACATTAGTCTATAGAAAGACAGAAGAGATATCATCATAAGTTTTTTGAGGTTTTAGATATCCAAAGGAGTTTACGTAATGATCATGAGGTCAGAGAAGAACAGAGGTATGGACAAAATTTGCCTGTTTGAAATTTGAGAGACAATATTCCATCTGGCAGAACGGTGGAAAACGTAAAGTTCTTAATTACAATTGACAGTGAGATGTCTAATTTAATAGAAAGTAGTATCCAGGATTTTGAAATCCGTTTTTTTACTATTTCGATGGCGATTTCTCCTTTAAATTCGGTATTCATACAGGGAATTTTCATGGGTTTTATTTTCCTAGACATCGCTTTAAGATGTTCCTGGAGAGTAAAAATGAAATGTTTCTTATGTAAGGAAGAAAATTACCCAATTGGCTGCAACTAGACTGTGATTTATTTTGATTTGAATTTAAACTTTCGTTTTGACTGTTAAACACTTCTAGTGGACTGTGACTCACATAAATACTTTCGAAAAAGTTCATCATAGAAACTCTGTGTCAATAATCATAGTATAATTAAACTCACTCACATTTAGAAGTTTGAAATGTTTTCGGTTAATTTACAGCAATATTGGTTGTTTGTTCCCCCTTCTTAGAGCGTGGTTCCGAAGGATATTACCTGGTGTAAGTAATAAGCACCAATCTTCTGTGTGTCAATGTGTCTGTAACTATAACAAATACAATCAATAGAGGGCATGTTCCTGATCTCGTAGCAAGATAACAGCTTATGTAGCGTCAATCGTTGTTCCTCATTAAGGGATCTTCGAGTGCTTCACCGGACGTGTATGTACTATGGCGTTACGGTAGCGGTGCAGAGCTCTGTTTGAGTACGAAAAGCAATCGAACAAACATACTTTTTTCAACCAAGTATTGAGGGTTTGTGGTTGAGGATTGAGTAGTTCTCAAGGTCAACATCTCACGTAGGATGTGAAAGCTAGGATTGCTTGTCAGTTCTAGCCTGATATACAGTGCACTAAAAAACCAAGACTATATAGCCTATGCCTTATCCAGAATATCGGTACGCATCCAACTATGCAAACGCTGATTGCTGACGGTCATCATTAGTGCGACTTCCTACTTAACGTCTTGGTTGAGAGTTTTCAACCAGACTTGGAGCTACACTCACAGTCATAGTCAAAGAAATTAACGTATGAAAACTGTCGGCTGCCTTTGAAAATATTCTATACTTCGACTTTAGTAAGGCTTTCGACAGCGTCTTATACAAACTTCTTCTTCTAAAACTCTCTTCATATGGAATACAGAATCCCCATTTATTTTGGCTCAAATCATTTTTAGAAGAACGTAACCAAATTATCCGCTTTGGATCTTGCTACTCCAAACCTGTGAATGTAACCAGTAGGGTTATACAAGGAAGTGTGATTGGTCCATTACTCTTTTTCCTTTTCATCAATGACGTATGTTCCCTCTTTCAATATGGTAAACCTTTTCTTTTTGCCGATGATCTAAAAGTGGTTTATTCATCTCCTTCTCTCACCAAAGAAAACCATATTTCGACGGCAATCCAAGAAGAAATAAACAAGTTGTACGAATGGACTATTTCGTGGAATTCGCCACTTAATGTTGACAAAAGTGGAATTATTAACATTGGCCGCTGCCTTAACTTAAATCTGGCTATACACAAACATACACTGAAGCCTCTTAGCACTGTTCGTGACTTGGGTTGAAGATATAGTGACAGTTTGAACTTTTTTGAACAAATTGCATCTCAAGTATCCAAAGCTAGAAAGCTCATCGGATTTATAATGATTAATTCCAATAATATCGAATCGAGATTATTATTATACAGAAAATGTATCTTACCAATACTTGAATACAGTATTTTAGTTTACGGTAATTGCAGGCATAGTGACCTGATTAAAATTGAAGGTGTTCGAAGAAGGTTCACCAAAGCTGTTTTGGGGTATTCTGACAACAAAGACTATCACCAAAGATGTCAACAACTGAAACTAGAACCTCTCTGGATCAGGCGTATCAAATTAAACCTTATCTTTCTCTACCGGCTTCTTAACGGTATTTCTTACTGTTCGCTACCTACCCCTTCATATTCTATGATACCGTCCCACAATCTACGCAATAAGGAAAATATCCTAGCGATTCCAAAAACCCACACAAATTTACGCCAGAATTTTTTCGTTATTCGCTACTCAACCATGTGGAATAGACTGCCAATGAACCTCCTATGCAGTGAAACTATAATCCGGTTCCGAAGTCTTTTTGATGATTTTATTTCCGAAAGTGGATTGTGTCACCTACTGAATATCAATGTGCTTAACAATGATTTATACAAAACAGGTCCGTCATCTATCTAAGCAAAGTGAAACCTTTGAAACTTTTCACGTCTATTTCACTTTATTTTATATTTATCTTAATATACAAAGTCTGCTTATGTTCGTATTTATAATTATTACTGTTAGTAATATCATTATTGGTCTTTCGACACATGAGATATTCTTTTCATCTCTTCTAAACATATTTTATTCCTAAACATTTAAAGTCATAGAATCATTCTAAATTCTGATTGCACTAATGTTTATACTAATACCCGGTTTCACTCTGTATACCGTTACATAAATCTACACGTAATTATCCGAGTGCAGTAAAGGTTTATTATTATTGTTACTACTATTGTTATTATTTGTTTATTTTATTTTTTCTGATTTTCCTTATTTATTTATTATTATCATTTTTAGTTATTCGTTTATCTCAAAAGTCTATAACCATTACACTATTATGATAATGGTTGGACCCTTTCACTGTGTTCATTTCTTCTCTCTCTCTTTTTCCCTCTAAATAAATATTATTCTTAAGATTACGAAGTTTTGGATGCAGACAATAACTTGTGTTACGTTGAATCCAACTTATCAGACTCGTTTTATCGTCGCTATGCATATGCACCTCATACATATTGATTGTCTTTTGCACTTGATTGAGACTTTCATAGCATCACCACAAACTATGTCTGCACGCACAAACACTTATTCTAACGTCATATCTTACCTCAATAATAAGTTATTTACTTATTAATTTATTTCGTTTTATTTTATTTTTATAACTCATTCTGTGATACACACAGTTGTTTATTCTTGTTCTACGTTAAGATATTTAAGTACTCCGCGTCTCCTTTATTTCTATTTCCTTGGTTTCTTCCTTTCATTCATTAAATTCAATTCAAAATTCTTGCCAATTACGCAGAATCGGATCTATTTTTTCTATTCTATTATTAATATTTCATTTTCCTTTTCCTTCCTTTCTCAAACATGGCAAGTGTAATGCTAACATTATTGAAAATTGTGTATTATCGCATTTTTTGAGGAAACCCGAAATGGTTTCTTCACAACATTTATGTACCCATAAGTTGTGAATAATAATAATATTGTTGCTACAATATTGTTGCGGAGGTTCCACGTAAGTGATAAAGTGTGGTGTTTGTATGAACTAATGATTCTTTTGTACTTGATAACTGCCTGATTTCGAATTCCAAATACAAAAAGTTCGTTCGTGCTCATCTAATACTCTTTGATTAGATTGCGTCATTTCTGGGATTCCTAATTCGTAGAATAAATTATATACTTCCAATTATTACATAAAGTCATCAGTGACAAAGTTAGTACTCTATGCCATATACAAACTTCTGCTCTGGATTGTTCTTGAATGTCGAATGAATGATAAACTTCAAGTTCTTTTCATAGACTAACGAGAAATATAAATCCATATCCAGACTTCGAATTTTATTCACAAGTTGCAAAATATCAAACAATGTATGGTTCTAACAATAATTATAGTGAATTTCACAATCAAGGAAGGTTATATGCTTGAATTCATTAAATATATTCCTTTGTTTGTTTCCTTGTCTGTCTACCTCTCTGCTAATCATATTTCACCGTGAAATTGACGTATAACTACTTGAGGCACGCCAACTAATTGGCACACTGAAAAGTCTGGATTCATTTTAACGCAGCACAGATTGAGCTAGTGTAATAAAAAACCAGATTTATTTCACCAAAACACAGTTGCCAGCGTTAAATCCATCTTAATATAATTGCTAGTGATTGAAACTGCCAGTGTCCGAACAAATCAAATTCAACTAAAAAGTGGTCCAATTCTTGTGTTACATCGATACTACCACTATTCCAGTTCAGTTTTGTCAGCTCAGTCCTACTATGCTTTTACATTTTTCATAGATATTCAAATCTTGGCAACTCTGTTGTTCATACCATATCCATAATCAGAAACCTCAAAGTCAGTTAGGTTAGAAGTCAGAAGTGAAGCGGTTCAAAGATATATTTGGA